GAGAACCTCCTCGTCCTTACAGACAGGCTGCTGTGGAAGTTCTGGCAGGACAAAAAGGAAATGAGGAAAAGGTAATGATGATAGACTGAGAGCTCCTTTTTTTTTTTTTTGAATCTGCTTTTCTTTACAGAATCTCAAGAGATTATGAGAAAAACAGCGACCCAGGGTTGGATGTAACTTATAGCTGATTTTGTTTTTTGTTAGTGCATTTACAACTGTTGAAGTATTGCAGATAAGGTGGGTCCAAGTTTTTGTCAGAGTCTGCGCAGTAGTTACTTGAGGTGGAGCGTCTACATTACTTTCCCGCCCATACACCTGCTGGACGTGACCACGAAATCGCCGACCTTTAGATTTTATGTAGCCCGGCTGCTCCCACTGATGACTCATTAAATTAAGGTAAATACAACCACATTGCTCCTATTTATAAAAACAAAGAAACAAAAACCCAAACCCTCCAAACAAACAAAAAATGTTATATGTTGTTACACCCCGGCCTAGGCAACCGGGGTGCAACGTAGAAAAACAGAAATAAGGAAAATAAAACCACGAAGGCTCTCCACCAAAATCCCAAAAATGAAAATATCCCATAACGAAAGCATTGACAAACCCATTCACAACTATTTACAACAAACTTTTTTATTACAACACGGGGGGGAGATCGCGACCATGACATACTGAAACACAAGGCTTAAATACATAGAAGGAGCAATCAGGGAATGGACCACAGGAGGGAAACACAGCTGGGGCAAATTAGACCTGACGAGACAAGGAAACGTAAACTAAACACACTAAGATAACACAGACTTTCAAAGTAAAGCAGGAAACACATAACAGTCACGCAAAAAACAAAACACTGACAACACCGAAGCGTAACACCGTGAACGGTATAATATGGCCCAGCCCTAGCTGGAGCTACTCTTTTTTAGCATATAAAGATGCATATGGAAAGATTTGTTTTTCAATATGATTGAATATTTCAATTTGACCAAACAATACTGCAGCATACACAGTTAGGTATAGAGAGTAAAAGTAAAGATGTTTTTCACTGCTAGTTTAGCCTAAACATGGAGTCTGAGAGCACTGACTTACTTTTTGTGGAGGAACGGCAGTTATTAGTGTTTCCATGTTGGCTTCATTGTTCAGACTTGTAAGTTGAATCTTCAATATATGAA